GAGCCAAAGATGTTAGAATTGTGTCGATGTCCCAATATTTCTGGACCTGACTGTACATACAACGTATGCTTTCCATGATGACAAAGTGTACTTTAATGCAGTTAGGGAATATTATGAAATTAGAACGTGACGCTCAAGGTTGGTCTAATGGAGAAGTTAATAAATGAAAAGATATGATTATATAAAATGATATATATAAATTGAGAATGGATCAGAGTAACCTGATTTGAAAAGCAATATCCAGTGTTAAAATTTTAAGTTATAGCCATAATAAAAGGAGCAACTATAGTTGCCTATCCTTATCTTCCACTCCCTGATATAATCACTAATCATTTGTGGATACCTCACTTTAATTCATGCTTAGCCACAGAGGAATACTTTTTTATGACCGCCTGATGTGAACAATGGGGCTTTCACAAATGACTTTGCCCAATCCATACTATTCCATTTGAACCATGTGCTTATAATTTTAGCAGTGCTACATGTACATGGATTCAATGAAATAATGCTCCTAGAATCATTAATATGAGGACAGCCTTCTTTGCCATTGCCCCTGCCCTTTGGAATATTCTCCCCCCAGAAGTGCGGCAGGCCCCCACCCTCCCAGCTTTCCGGAAAGGATTAAAGACCTGGCTCTGCCAGCTTGTGGCAGCTTAAGAATTTCACCCAATCCTGGGGGTGACTGGTGCCTTGATGATATTCTCCAAGCTACCTGCCAATGTAGCATCTATTCTTGGATGATATTTATTTTGTATTTATTCAACACCATTTTATATTGTATTTTTAATTGATTTTAACTTCTTTGTAAACTGACCAGAGTAGCTTTTTTAACAAGATGGGCGGTGACAAATTTGATAAATAAAGGTAGGGGATGTGTCTGTCAATAGACTTAATTTATTGGGAAGATGGAAGTTTATCTCACCCACCTGTTAGAGAATGTTGATGTAATGTATCCCAAATTTGCACTTCCACTGGATATTATATAGCAATCGAATATGAAACAAAAACTTTAGGTTGAGAAGCTAAAGAATGGAACTTTACACTTCTCTTGGGACTGAATATCAGCTCAATAGCTCAATTAATATGGAAAAGTAATTGAGTTCAATCCCAATTGCAAGCCCTATTTAAAAATGATAACGGAATTATATTAAAAATTAGGCATGAACATGCTGAATTAGAGTTACTCAAGAGATTGAGGGTTTAACCACTCATTGGTGCAATTTTTTCAGGATGGAGCCCAATTGTGATCAACATTTTAAATTTAGCATGGCATCCAGTTATTTTTGTAATAGCCATTCTTATTTTGTTAATATTGATATGTGTTCTGTATATTAAAGTTAAACAATTGTATGCAAATGTGCAATTTATTACTTGGAGATTTGAACTGTAAGTGTGAAGGGAAATCAAAATACGTCAAGGGGTGGAGTGTAGTAGCAGTGTGGAAGACCATTGTTATTTTCAGGAGTTTAGGTGACATAGTTTGATTTCGTCTGCGCATATTAAGAAAACTCACTTTGAATCATAATGTTTAGCTGGCTTGTTTTTCACTTTTATTTAGAAGTGGGGGGGGGGAGCAAAACCCTTGGGATTGTTTAGTTAAGCACTAGCTTATCTATATAGTTCCCAGGCTCTGGAATCTTTTGATGAGCAGGTATAACATCTGGTCAAGGTCACTTTCAAAGCCACTGACTCCAAAACAGAGTCATGAGACTGCACTGCCAGATTTTGATAAAAAGCCCTGGTGTTGCCCTGGAATTTGGAGCATGGACACAGGCCTTGGGACTAAGTGCTTGGTTTATTGGGAAGATGGAAGTTCATCTCACCCACCTGTTAGAGAATGTTGATGTACAGTAAGTCTCTCCACTGTCACCTTATTGTAGCTCCTGATAATAGGGGAAGAGTTTTATCATCTCGCTTGGTATGTTATGGTTTTATACTATACTTATGTATTTCTGTTTAATGCTATATGCTAATTCTTATATTCCTGTTTAAATCTGTTTGCTAGAGTTAACAATAAAGTTTAAAATCTCCTTACCTACTGGTGTGTTCATTGACTCTGGATCTAAAAGAACTAAAATAACCAACTGCCTGGACACCTGATCACTGCCTTGACAACTGCAAAACACCCATAAAAATTCAAATATCCTCAATTTAATAATAATAAAATGCCCATGTGAATCAATATATATTTGCGCTGTTACTACAGTAATCTCTATCCTGATTAACAGCATAAATCCAGCTGCATTAGAACTTTATCCACTAATGTAAGAGAAGCCTGATGATCCAATTTGACAAAAAAAATATTTCATTTCTAATGAGATTCTTGCAGAAACATAATCTCAGCTTTATGTCTTATTACTTTAAATATCTTTGTATTTTAATAATATTTTGCATCCCTTTCACATTTCAACTCAGTATCCTCAGTATCCATTCCCACTCAGAATCCTCAGGATTCTCAACCCAAGCATTTAAAAGGATCAATTATAATATACTTACTTATAGAATCTGTAACAAACAAACCTTCTTTAAAAGCACTGAATATTAAACTTACTAACTCCTCTTGAAACTTAGTAATTTCTGTTTTCATTGTTTTCTTCTCATAATAACTTCATGTTGTAATCCAAAGTAGTACAGATAGTTCTTGTTTAGTGACCACAATTGGGACCAGCAACTCAGTCACTAAGTGATGTGGTCACTAAGTGGAACATCACTTAATCACAAGCGTGCTTATGATTTTACTTCAGCTTTCCTTTTTTCCCACTCCCCCGCCCTTTGGAATGCTCACTCCAGCACTGGGATAATTAAGCAAGAAAGGAATTAATGTTTGTATTTACATTCATTGGAGAGGAAGGGATTACAAGAGAATAAGCAGGCACACAATGGGGAATACACATCAAAAGAAATGTACTGATGCCAGCTGTTTGCCTAGCGCAGTCACGGTTGAAGCCCCAAACCACTGAGGAAGGAAACAAAAGATGAAGGTGTGAAATTGATTAGAGTCACAGGCAGAAGCTAAGTAAGATCACAGAGCTGAGCTTGTTAACTTGCGGTTAGCACCTTTTAGGAAAGTGCTGTGGAGAAAAGTAGCTGAGGAAGAGATAGCTTGTTTAGGCAATCTCTCCATTCTGCAAGGGGAAAAAGAAAAAAAACCAGGTCAGGCACAGGACAACTCATATGGACTGACTGTAATGGTGAACACCTCACTGAGAGAGACACTGCAAAAGTCATAAATGCGGGTTGCAAAGTTACTTTTTCATCATCATAACTTTGAACAGTTGCTGCCTGAGTCAGCTGCTAAACGAGATCTACCTGTAATATTTTTATCCAGTAAGGCAATGTCTGTATGAACATTAGCCATCTCAGAAAATAATTTACCATGATTACCCTCCATACAAGTACACACTGTTAAACCATCCCTGGTGAGACTGGCAAAGTGCCTGTCAAATGCTCCCAGATTTTGTAAGATGCATCTGTTTCTTCCCAGGAATCATTTGTGAAGGTATCATAGGCCACTGTCTAAGAATCCAAAGTCTTCTTGGCAACACCATTTGTGCAGCAAGTTGGTGACTTGCCAAGAGTTTAAAAGATGTCATCCCATGCAATATATAGCAACAAATTCTGCAAGTAAGGGAATCACTGTCAAAAGTACACTATATTCCCAGTTCATACAGGTTATCTGTTGAGACATTATGGTTGGTGGCAAGAGTAACAGAACTGCATTCTTCCTGGGTCTCTCCACAAAATGAATAAGGTTGTTTCAGTCTCAAAGCCAGGCCAGAGGCCTGAGATCAGTTTTGAAAATCAGTTTTTTCAAGAATATTTGCAGCTGGACAACTATCATTCTGTTAAGTATATAGGCACTAATGATAACTGTCCATGCATCTGGGTCCAGAACAGATTTTTCCACAGAGCACTACAATTGCCTCTCTTAGGACAAAAAAGGCACCATCGTCTCGTGAATTCAATGTAGTTTGGGCTCATTCAGCCAATTTTAGCCCTAGCCCCCATAATAAACAGAAATCAAGACAGCAGGTAATCAGTATTATAGCTATAAGCAACTTGCCCACTTCCAGCAACAACTTAACATTATCTTACAAAACTGGAATAGATTATCTGTGGACACTGCACCTGAAACCATCATAAATCTGGCATTTGCCCAAATAATTTTACTGGTCACCAGACAATGCAGATACTTGTCAGCAAACTTGTCAGCAAATTGGTCAGCAAACCTGTCATAGCAGGCTATTGGGGCTGCAGACAAAGCAGATACTTCAGGCAGGTGTCTCCTTCTCCAATAAATAAAAAGAGAAGATAAAACAGAAATTTATTTTATTTATGATTTTGATGCATACTGTATATAGACTTCTGAATCTCTGAGAATGAGATGGGAGGCTTAGGAATTGGAGAAAGACAATTATCTCTCAGCAGCATCGAAGAAAATATTTTTTAAGTTAGCCAGATTCAGAATTAAAGAAAAATACTCTTTAAAAGCTTTAGCAACCATACCTTTTCCAACTTACATACATTTCAAATACAATATAGTCTAAAAAATACTGAGTGAACCTTTCTTACCTGTTATTAAAATTAGTGCAGAAAGTAAGATTTCTACAGCCCAACTGACAAGGTTCACGTACATCTGCTAAGCAAGTCAACATGGAAACTTCAACTGGATTATATTCACAAAAACGATCAAATTCTTGCCAGCTTTGTGTATTGCCCCAGCTGCTTGTATAAAGTTTAGTGCATACATCTCTGAAAGAAAAAAGAAATACAAATACATGCAAAAGAGAATAAAAATGAAATCTTCCATAAGTTTAGATGTTCTTTAGCATATAGTTCATAAGATCTTACCCCAAACATAGAGCGGAAAACATATAATGGCTGCAGGAAGCTATGGAGTTTTAATCATGTCCAAAGCATTATTGATATAATTACCCAAAAGAGGTTGCCAATAACCTTTTGAATGCTTATTGAAATTAAGTTTCACTGAGCATATCAAGTCTTACCTGTGAATGCTTAGGGCCATACCTAGAACCATACTATTTTCTTCTTATGACTTGAAGTATTATACTCTGTTTCTTCCTAAATTATATTACTGAATACAGCTGATGATGTTTTAAATATTACTTTATCTCCTTGTCAAAACAAAAACAGACTGTGCTTCACAATTGCCTGACAGGTCATATTATCCAGACAGCAAACTCAGAAGCTAGGTATCAAATTAGAGAAGAGTTGCCTGCTCCTGTCTCATATTCCAGAGATAGTGCATTTTGGGTACAGCAGTGTCATATGGACTACTTTAAGTTGGACTAATACTTAAGTGACCCTTGCTATCCTGCATGGAAACACTATGAGACACAAATCAGAAGAGGGGGGAAAAAGCTGAAATTGGTGAATGTACCACTAGAAAGCTGCAACTAATTCAAAAGGAACAAATCAAATAGAAAGGATGGGGATATTAAACTGTTTGGTTAAGGATAAAAGGAGAAAGAAACAAAAATGATGCAGCCATGGGAGTTTATTATACCTTGGCTGGGCAGAAAGATTGATATGACACCTGTCTTCAGGATATTACTAGTCTTTCAAAGAGGCATGGAATAGTGGTAATGGGAGATTTCAATTATTGTGGCTTCTGTTGGGAATCTAACTCTGCAAAGAGTTAGAGGTCCAACAAATTCTTCTCCTTTCTTGTTAAGAATCTCATCTGTCAGGAGATGGATGAAAGAACTGTATTTCCAGCTTTAGAGACACCTACATCATCATCATCATTATTATTAATTTTTTATTGCTTTTAAAGTATTAACAGAAAAAGAAAAAGGAACAAAACACAAAAATAGTTATGACAGAAATACATACATTGTCAAAGAAAAAACCCCAAATACCAAGTGCTTTAAAAAAAGAGGCAAGAAAAGAAAATTACAACAGAAAAAAGAGGAAAAAGAAACACAATATACTATATCATTATAAGAATAAACCATTACAATTCTATATATACTTATCTAATACAAATATTCAAATTTGTATATATTTATTTCTAATACACTAATATAACTATCATGC